ATAAAAATTATTTATTTGTTTATTTAATTATAATTAATGAAACTTTTACCTAGGTGTAATAAATGGCTGTTTTGCGTTTGGCTACCTATCCATACTATACATTAAATTACAATTCAAACAATTACACCATGAAATAGTAGCATGTATATCTACTCAAAACATACCTGGCCTGTTAAAATGCATTCATAATCACCAAGCTGTTGCCGTATCATTACATAAACTAAATAGCTCAATTAAATACTCGCTATTTATTGTATACTTTTTCCTAAAACCTCCACTCAATGGCTTACTATATATGACCATGGGCCAAACAAACAGCTTATTTGCACAGATAGTAATGGGTGCATTATTTGTCCTAGCTACAACAGTTTTATTTATGAGTAACATGGTAATAAGTTCATTGAACACATGCGCCCATAAGAGTAACAAATTATTATACAGACCATTAGTATCTAACCAAAAATTCTTGTATGTTAATAAAAAACCATCAATTACCCTGTTAATGAGTTTACGGGCAAAGTTTAAATTAAATAATTTCATTGAACGCCTGTCCGGAATGCCTATCGGTTTTTACTGTTTAGATATGTTTGCGATTAGAAATTATGAATTTGGTGACTATTTTATGAGCTGGATCGCTAATTATATACTTATCTTGGGGGTATTAAACAAGAAACACCTATTCCACTGACTAAAAATAATATCCAAGGTATATCTTGGGAATATAATTAGTAAACCTATTGCCACTACAAATAAAATTTAATATAAATTTAGCTTTTAAATAATAAGATTTTTTTGTCTTGTATAAATGACTTGTATTATAATCTGCGAATAGTTGGCTGTTAAATAGGGTAATAGCCAATTACTTATACGACATATAGGTTTCTATTGTTAAGATATGTTTGCAGTTTGTGATTATTTTTGAGTTGATTGATAATTTGTAATTAGTAATTATATATTGATACTAGGCATGTTTTATTCAATACAGCCCTTTATTTATACAAAATATATAGCATGTATTTATAAAATAATTATAAATGTAATTTGACATAAACAATGAAAATAAAATTATTTTGTAAACATGTTGATTTAAATACTATTATATATATATATAAACAATAAAATAAATAAATTTCTCATAAATTATGATCATTAGTAAGTAATTACTTTGACATTTAAATAAGTTTTAGATAATAATATCATTTACGGTAAATGCGTCAGTAATTCATTTGGTATTGCAAATCAAATAATGATTAATTGCTTTATAAACTGAGAATAGAAAATATATCATTAAATAAAATCATTGAAAAATGAAATATCTAGAAAAACACATCATTAATATAAATTAATGACTAAAATATTGATTTTAATATATTATTTTTAAGATTTACGACATACCTTATACATCTACTTAATATTGACAATAACAATAACATATACTTATATGATACTGTACTTTATAATAACAGTAGTGTATATTTTAAAAATTTATGAAATTTATATTTCATATTAGAGTAAACAACTACTTTTAGTGTTAATACAAAATCCACATTAATTTTGTAAACATGGCTATTATAAGCCGGATCATTAGCATTGTTAATGTCCAACAAATATCTCGCCAATTCATAAACCGTTATGTGGATCGTGATATAAATTTCAACAAGCTTGAACAATTCATGCATAACTACAACACCATGGCTAACAAAACGTTTGAAAACTACCTGGGTGCTACACCTAACAAATATTCCAAGCAAATTAATAAAATACTATTTTACCGTATTATGAGCTTATTAGTAGCCATACGTTTTCTAACATCAGCCGTAATTAATACGCCGGACATACGGGTGCTAATGGCTGACCCCCACTACCTATTAGGCCATAAAAGGCTCAACTCATTCATGTTGGGAACGGCTATTTTGGTGATGAATATATCCCTGGGTGGCCTAATACAGTACCTGGAGTTGACCCATAAACTCAATATAATCCCATTTTTCTATGATATTCAACATAAACGCAATAATATGTATGAATTAAATGCTTATTATTATCGCAAATATTGTATTAACAAGAATTTGGTGTTGAATATTATTTTAAGCAAGCAACATTTTTATTTTATTATTATAGTAAACATGGTCTATTTTTATGGGTTGACCTTTATTGCATATATAGACCCTGATGTTAATTATTCTATTATAACTATTGTATTCTGGAATTGTTGCACTTATTTTATGCTGGTTGATTTGTTTGGTATGTTTAATTATTTCATACAATTTTTAAAAAATAATTATGATATAATATAGTTAAATTAAATGAACTAGCTTAACTAATTTAATTAGATAAACGAGATCAGCTTGATGAACTTAATAAACAAAATTAACTAGATGCATTAGTTTAACTAGTTAAACTAGTTGAACTAAATGAACTAGTTTAACTAATTAAATTAGTTGGCCTAAATGTATTAGTTTAATTAGATGAACTAGATACGCTAGATGAGCTTTATAAACAAAATTAACTAATTAACTGGTAACTAAAGTCACCAGTTTAACTAATTAAGCTAGTTGAACTAAATGTACTTGTTTAACTAGTTTAATTAGATGAACTAGATCAGCTAGATGAACTTAATAAACACAATAAATTAAAATAAACCAATAGAACCAGTTAAACTCGTTTAACTAAATGAACTAGCTAAACAATAATTGTACCAAAATTAAAACATTAATTGCAACTAGGTCTAATGCTGGGTGGCTTCGCGTACGTACACCTGTCCCTACTATACCTCAAATACCAATTCAAGCAGTTATCCACACAAATCATATCCTGTATCAACAACCACGACATACCCGGCCTAACCCGATCCATACGGCAACATCAGCACATTTGCACGACTGTCCACCTACTCAACCAAATGTACAAATACTTCATATTTATTATATTTTATTTCGTGAAACCACCCCTCAATGGGCTCCTGTACCTCAGCCACGACACCAACAATAACGTATACGCCCGGGTAGTCCTGGCATTCCTACTATCCATGTGTATTGTCATACTATTCATAGTAAACTCCCTGGCCGCGTCGGTATCTAAATGGGCCCACCATTGCTCAAACCGTATGTNAACTCCCTGGCCGCGTCGGTATCTAAATGGGCCCACCATTGCTCAAACCGTATGTATGGGCTAATGGTAGCCAGCAAACAGCCTGGTAATGCCTACCTGGGTATTCGTACAAGGTGGAGTGTATGCAATTTTATTGAACGCCTGTCCGCACCTCATATCGGTTTGTATTGTTTGGATATGTTTGCCGTAAATAACTGGGAGTTTGCCGATTATATCATGAGCTGGATCACTAGTTATATTTTAATGATTGATTTGTTGAATACAATTAAACATTAATAATAGTAATGGTAAATAAAATAATAAATATTTTTAATTGTATTTATATTTGATTTTTATATTTGATTAACAAATTCATCTACTTATAACTTGTAAGTGTTCATAGTAGTTTTTGTATGTGGGTGAAGTTATATATTCAATTCATTATACTATAGTTTATTTTGTAGTATTATTTTTAAAAAATAAATTAAAACATAAAATATTTTGAAACATAATGTAATTTTAAATTTTTAAACCATTGTAAACATAAATAATTATGAAATAAGTGTTAAACAGTTATATAAATAAATATAATTCAATATAATTAGTAAATAAACAAAAGTATAACCTATTATAATATGTATTAAAGTTATAATAATTATAATAATTATTATAATAAAATATTTCTATGCCGTTATATTAGTTATCTTGATCATAAATGGCATTACTAGGTCATTTACCGAATAATTTGAAAAATGGCAATGCTCCAAACTTTTTGAACACCGACGCGAAAAACTCCTTAAAAAATCTCGGATCGGACTCCAGTTCCTTAATTAGTTGCTCGCTCTTGTCATTAGGGTGTGGGTAGTAATGGCCGAGTTTACCATTGTTCACGGGATTTGGGTGACCAGGGTTACCAATAGCCATACCGTTATGTACGGGAACCGGATGGGGAATAGCGTTTGAATTTCTGGACATTTCAAAGGGTTGTATGTGTGAGTTGACTGGGCTTGTATCCGCTGTTTAAAATAAATGTACACGGTTAAATTATGTTAATACATTTTAATGTTAAATATAAAATTATTTTAGTATTTCCAATAATACAGTACAGTACATACCAGGGTTTAGGGTTAGGCATATAGCAAAAACCGTAAATAATACTATAAAATACATGTCTACAGTAGCTCCCAAACTGACTGAAAACTTTTGTATTATAAAGAGTTTTCTTTTATATTATATTTAAAAATTTATTTTGAAATTTATGACTAAATATACAGCATACAATCATTAAAATGTTTAAATTAATAGTGATTTGTTTATTAAATAATTTAGTAATTATAAAAGTTAAAATTGTAGAAATAACACGATATTGCAATTATATGTGATTTTCCATTGATAACAATTATTTTGGGTTTAGTAATGTAAATGTACTTCATTATTAAAAATTATATGCTTAATTTCGTAACAATTTAAATACAGTAATTATAAATATGTTACATATTATTTTAAAGTTTGATTTAATAAGAATGCTTGCTAAACTTATTTAACTAAAAAGTAAACAAATTAATTTTATATTCAAAATAAACAATATTTTTAAAAATCATACATTAATAATTTTTATTTCGTAATTAAATTATAATTATTTAAAACAAATATTTATTTTAAAAATACACAAAGTAGTTATAAAATAATCAGTTAGCATAGTAATTCATTTATTTTAATAAAATGTAAAAATAATTTATAACATTTAAAATTCATAACAAAAAAAACAAATACATTTTAATATTAACCAAATATTTTCTTGAAACCCAGTTTCACTGATTTCCACCAAACTTGTATCAAGCTCAAAAATCTGGGATCATTTTGACGCATAGTCATACGCATATCGCCCTTACCCTCCACCGCAACTTTATCATCATGGTGCTTATTCCCATGGACAGCCTTTTGTGGTACCGGTGCCAACGCAAACCCAGACCTCACATGACCAGTCCCATCGACGGCTACTTTATCATGAGGTTGAGGTCTTTCTATCTGACTGTCCATTACGACGGCCTTATGGCGCACCTTTGCCACTATGGCATCAACCCGTTGGCGCCCGACATGTCCGGGCACGTCGTTGTGGTTAATCTCGGCCTCTGATGGACGGGCGGCTCGTTTTATAAGAGCGCCGTTAGCTTTATAATTAAAATGTTAAATTTTAATAACTTATCATTTTTAATTTTAAATTTTAGTTTAAAACAATAAACTCACAAACCTGTGCATAATACCAGGAAGGTATATACTAGAAATAGTATACTTGAATACATTGTAGTATATTTTAAAACTATTGCTTTGACTTTTGAAAGTTTTTGACTAAAAGTTAAAAATTTTATTTTAAAATGATGAAGTTAATATTGTCTATGAATTAGTTAAAGCTTTAGTTTTTATTTGAATTTTTATAAATTTATTTTAATAGTGTTGTTTTGCAATTATTTTCACGATTTATGTTTCATTCATATTATTTTGAAGTTTGTAATTATAAAATTAAATATTTATATAATTAAAATTAAATGTTTGAATGAATTATTTTACACAACATGTTTAATTATGTATTTACATTAACAAACTGTAATTAAATGACTATAAATAACACGAATTGTTAATTTTTATTTTCAACTTTAATAACATTTTACATTTAATATAGTAATTAAAAACTTTAAAACATTTAAATTATACACAATTCAAAAAGTTTACAATTTTAAAATAAAAATTTTGTGTAAATTTCCAGTTCATATAAACTCAATTTATTTA